ACAAGTGACTTATGTGAAAGAGAAAATTCCAAGTCTTCCAAGAGGTGGTGGCGCTGTTTTGGCACTTTTCGTGTCTATTTGCTTTCTTTTTTGAATTCACAATTTTTGAAGGTTATGTTCCATTCATAGTTATTATTAATATAACATACTGACTGTACTCCCTGTGTTGGAGGATATATCTTGCCCCTCCCCTTTTCCCTCTCCCCACTGGTAAACACCAGGTTGTTGTTTGTATCTGCAAGTCTGTTTCTTTTTGTTCTTGTTGTTATATTCACTAGTTTGTTGTATTTTAGGTTCCACAGATAAGTGATATCATACAGTATGTGTCTTTTTCTGTCTGACTTACTTCACTAAGAATAATGCCCTCCAAGTCTATCTGTGTTATTGCAAATGACAGAATCTCATTCATTTTTATAGCTGGGTAGTGTTCCGTTATTCAGTTCAGTTCAGTTCATGGACAACAGTCATGTCCAACTCTTCTTGACCCCATGGACTGCAGCACGCCAGGCCTCCCTGTCCATCACCAACTCCCAGAGCTTGCTCAAACTCATGTCCGTCGAGTCGGTGATGCCATCCAACCATCTCATCCTCTGTCATCCCCTTCTCCTCCTGCCTTCAATCTTTCCAGCATCAGCATGTTTTCCAGTGAGTCAGCTCTTCGTATCAGGTGGCCAAAGTATTGGAGTTTCAGCTTCAGCATCAGTCCTTCCAATGAATATTCAGGACTGATTTCCTTTAGGATTGACTGGTTTGATCTCTTAGCAGTCCAAGGGACTCTCAAGAGTCTTCTCCAACACCGCAGTTCAAAAGCATCAATTCTTTGGCACTCAGCTTTCTTTATGGTCCAACTCTCACATCCACAGATGACTGCTGGAAAAACCACAGCTTTGACTAGACGGACCAATTTCGGCAAAGTGTTCTATTATATATATATGCTGCTGCTGCTAAGTCGCTTCAGTCGTGTCCGACACTGTGTGACCCCATAGACGGCAGCCCACCAGGCTCCCCCGTCCCTGGGATTCTCCAGGCGAGAACACTGGAGTGGGTTGCCATTTCCTTCTCCAGTGCATGAAAGTGAAAAGTGAAAGTGAAGTTGCTCAGTCGTGTCTGACTCTTAGCGACCCCATGGACTGCAGCCCACCAGGCTCCTCTGTCCATGGCATTTCCCAGGCAAGAGGACTGGAGTGGGGTGCCGTTGCCTTCTCCTACATATTTATGTATATTTGTTGCTCAGTCACTCAGACTCTTGCAACCCCATGGCCTACAGCACACCAGGCTCCCCTGTCCTTCACCATCTCCCAGAGTTTGCTTGAACCCATCACACCTTCTTTATCACCTGTTGATGGCCCCCTGGGCAGCTTCCACGTCTTGGCTAATGTAAATAGTGCTGCTGTGAACTTTGGGGTGCATGTGTCTTTTCCAGTTATTTTTTTCATTTTCTTCAGATACATACCCAGGAGTGGAATTTCTGGGTCATTATGGTAGCTGCATTTCTAGTTTTTTTGAGAAACCTCCATGCTGTCTTCCACAATGGCCGCACCAGTTTACATTCTCCATGTGGAAAAACCAAGTTCTGCCTGTCCGACGGGAAATGCAAGACTCAAGAACAAGGGGCCGTATTCCACGGCCAGAGGAGTGCATGGTCACGTTCTGCCTAAAGCAAAACTGACCCCCGTTGTCAAAACACGTGAACTGAGACTTGGTTATTCAGATCATAGAAAGGCTCACCACAGGATTCTTGAGTAGAATACACTATTACATTTAAAATATTTTACTTCAGGGAGAAATTTATTGTATAAGTCAATTTTTGAAAGCCAGTGTCAAACTAGAAAAAGAAAGGAAACCGACTTAGAAGACGCACCAATTCAAGGGTTTCCCAGGCGGCTCGGGTAAAGAATCCGCCTGCGTTTGAAGGAGAAGCGGGAGACTCAGGTTCAATCCCTGGGCCAGGAAGAGCCTCTGGAGGAGGAAGTGTCAACCCACTCCAGTATTCTTGCCGGGATAGTCCCACGGAAAGAGGATCCTTACGGGCTGCAGTCCATGGGGTCGCAAGGAGTCAGGCAGGACTGAGCGCATACACACGCAGCATAAAAAATACGTAGCAGCTAACGTAATAGGTCATTTTATAATTAAGCCTTGTTTGCACAAATACCCCTAAATCTAAAGCAAACAATTGGAGAAATCTCTGGGGAGGCCTTGACTGAAATATATAACACAGTTCTCGTCCCAAGATGCTGGCCGTTTCCGTGGGGAAATGGATGGTTAATAAGAGGACAAGATGCTGTGAGAGCTGAAACAGATCAGCCAGAGCTGTGATTTGGGAACTTCCTGGTCAGTGATGAGAGGAACTCAATCAAAATGTTTTTCTTTCTTTCCTTCCTTCCTTTCTTTCTCTCTCTCTTCTTCTTTCACTTTATAGCTTTAGCATCAGAATCATTGCCACTGAATTAAAACTGCCTGTATAGACAGAGGAACAAAGCAGACATTCAGTAAGTAGGTACCTTTGGGACAACCAGCAGTGTAACTTCTGTTTACAGGTAATGATAAACGCATTGAACAGCATTTTCCTTCAGAAGGACAATTGCATGTGTTTTTAAACTTTGGGGAGTTTGGACCAGTATCCATAGAAATTATCCAGCAAATGCTGACCTGAAGACTTTAAGCAGTTATCTGTAACAAGAGTAAGTGGTTTAACCAGAACTTATGATCCATCCTTCGTTTTCTGTTTCTTAGCAGTTCACTGTGTTTTGATTTGTTTTTATTAAGAGAGTGGCATAATTTATCACAGAAGGTTGAACCTTATTCTCAAAAAATACATTTATCAAAAAAAGGTTTCAGAAGCAACTCTCTGAAACTACTGTTGTTCGTTTATCTTGCATTTTATACTGCGCAGATTCCTGCATCCTCCCTATGAATCTCGGTGACTTTCGTTAGCTTTTCTTGCTGTGACAATATCTGTCATTGTAGCATAAAATAATATGTCATTTTGATTTTTTTCCCTATGATTGTGTTAAAATCACTATAACACTGGAATTTGCTTGTCTTTTTTTTTCTTTCAACTTCTTAGTAGTATATAAAAGAGAAAACTAAATTATTCCTTAAGTTTTAGGTTTAAATGTTTTCTTTAGGTTGAGCGGGAGGGTAAGGAGAAGCAGCACTAAGAAGCTGGTCAGAATTCAGATGAACTATTTTTGAATTACTGGTTCTCTGCCATGATGCTTTAGGAAGGACCAATGTCTGTAACCAGGGTGTGTGCCTCTGAAATTCGAACAGTGTGGCAGAGAACCAGGCTGACATGAATGTAGATTTTTCTGTCATCTGTCTTGGAACAGCATATTCAAGGGATTTCCAGTTGTTTACATTTTATAATTTTGAACCAAATATAACTAATGAGTATTTTAATTGAATTCTAAGACAGTTTAGATGAGATAGATGGAAAACGCATTATTAACTGTCGTGCCACCTGTGTACAGCATCCAGTGGATAATACCTTGGAAGGCAGCATGCACCTCGTCGGGTAGCATTTGTCTGTTTGTGCATCTCGTTAATAAGGAATCGAATATTTTTGACTCTCCCATTGCACTTTGAAGTAGATGTGATCGTGCCAGTGCCCACTCTATTTCGGTACTAACTCCCCACTGTTTTTAATTTGGGGCAGAGATTTGGGGACGGAATTGGGGAAGCATACTTCCTGAAAAGTTATGGCTCAAAATGTAAACACCGAAATCATCCTGGACACGTTTCAACAGCAAATGTGAGGCAGCCTGTTGTCACAGCATGTAGAGACACCAAAATGGCCGTGCACCTGTGTGCAGGCTAGGCGTCACAACGTCCAGTGGCAAAAACATGGGGCGTGAGTTATCTTGGTGACTCGACGGAGTTTGGTACATTTAACCTTTTAGCCATAGTATTATTTAGTTTTCTATGGAATCGGTCTTATTTATTTTTGTCCAGTTAGAAGATAAAGCAAGGGGAGAGGTGCCTGCATCTGTTTGCTTTCTTAGCACGGATGATGCATGTAAACACACACGTGCATCTTTAGATTTCTCCCAGAGGCATCTGTCTACACATGGTAAACAAGTTGTACGGTTCACATAAACAAACTCCAGAAGAGAAATTCCACCAGAGCCATTTTCCTTGCTCATTGTCTGTGTCTGCCTTTTGACTCTGTTTCCCTCTTACTCCACGTGATGAGGACCTGCAGGGCGAGGATCCTCAGGAGTCAGGCCGGTGGATTGTCTGAATCCATCTCCTCTGTGTGAGTGGCTCCTGTCTAGAAGGGAAAGGAAAAAAAAGCAAAGTATCAACTTCAGAAACCACATTCAGGTTAAAGGGCACCAGCCATCCTGGCCTGAACTCTGCCCAAAGGACGGACCTTTCATCTGATAAAGATCATTAGTCACCAAGACACATATTTCAGAGAGTTCCCAGCAGCGACACTCCACTGACAGTCACTGAAGTGTACCAGATGGTTCATTAGCATAGGCTAGACAAGTCAGAGGCTTTCAGAATCATTTAGAAAATGTCACCCAGAAACAAGAACCCTGTCACTTTTTATTAGAATTAACTACATCATAGCCTGGACACAGATTTCACCTTGGGTCAGAAAAATTAATACAGAGTTCCATGCATTGTGTCATATACTGGGTTAAGATCAGTCTTCCTCAAGGGACTCATTTGCTGGCAATATATTATGATCCTTCTACTTTCAGAATCCTCAAACCTTTTCTTTTGTGAGATATGAAAAGAACTGACCTTGCTCAAAAGCCACTGGTGTCTAATTGATTGGAGGTATAGGCAGGATTTCAACAGGACGTTCTTCTAAAGCACATTTATGACTGCTTTCTCAGGTACTTCCAAGAGTGGGGTTGACCAACCATCCAGCAGTGCATCAAGTGGGCTTTATGTCAGGAGAAAAACCCTAATTGAACACACTGCTAAAAACAGAAATTAAAACACCATTGAAATATTGTGGGTTGTTTTTTTTTTTTTTAATCCAGATGTCAAGAACCTGGAGAACTTCCAGCTGGTCGAAGGCGTCCAGGAACAAGTCAACGCTGCCTTGCTGGACTATACGGTGTGCAACTACCCGCAGCAGACAGAGAAGTTCGGGCAGCTGCTGCTCCGACTTCCGGAGATCCGGGCCATCAGCATGCAGGCCGAGGAGTACCTCTACTACAAGCACCTGAACGGGGACGTGCCCTACAACAACCTGCTGATCGAGATGCTGCATGCAAAACGAGCCTAGTCACCGCCCCCAGGAGCTCGGCGTCCCAGAGACACAGCGATGGGCGGGGTGGGGGAGGAGAAGGACAGGAAAATGGGAAAAAAATACTCTGAATGGCTCCAAGCAACACGAGTTAAACACTTGGTTTAAAGACACTGAATTTGATAAGGCATAGTAATCAGATACTGGATAGCCACTAAATGATGCATCAGGGTATTTGTATCACAAACTGTGAATCAGAGGCGTCACATCCCCGAAGCGTTCCGTGCAGAAGACACTGGAACGGAGTGGACTGAACCCGCAGGCGGATCCCAGCACCGTGTCAGGCTGGAGACAGAGCGGCTTTCTTGTGTATTGAAACTGGTCTCCAATGTGAAGAATTCTGAGAGCTGATCCATGTTATTCGTTAGGCTTACGTGGCAGGGAATTTGAGCTTACAGAATTCCTCTGTGGTAAAGCTGAACTGAAACCATCCTCAAGAATCCATCAGCTGCACCAGTAACAACCCTCTCCTCTTCCTTCCAAGGACCCAGCACCTTCTGTCCTCTGATCCCGGTGTCTGTACCAAGGACCTGTGCTCAGCCGCACCCCCCCAGAAGCTCCGCCAAACCTCGAAAAGCCTAATCTTGACTGTCTGTATCTTAGACCTGCCAACAGCTAACAAGAACAGTCCACTAATACGTGAGCTTGCCATTTTGACTACGTTCTGGTTTGTTTTGTCATGTGTTCATGATGTCTGGGGGGAAAAAAAGCAGGCAGTGTCCCTCTTCTGATCCTATTACAAGCGTTCATTAATACTAAGGGCAGCGACTACAAACTTTTAAAGCTTTAGCTTTAGCATTACTGGATTTCATAAAAAGTCCCAGCGGAAAGGCTCGTTAGGATGCATCAGCCTTTTTAACCATCAAGGTTTGTAGTTCATCAAAAAATACAACAGGAAACATATTTTGCTGGAATGTCAAATAGTCACCATTCTGAACAGGAAAACTACACGGAAGCATGTTAAGCTATGCAAAATAAAGGTGGGGGTGAGCAGATACATTGATTGACATGTTGCAATTGATCATCCCCTGAACGTAGAGAGGAAACGATGATCTTTACGTAGCCTGGAAAGATAGTAATGTGCTTCAAATCTTCCCCCATAGGGAAGGGAAGAGAGTGATAGTGACCTTTCTAAGTTACTATATAGACCAAAGTCTGCTATAGAACAATTATTGGAGGACAGAGAACTGTGAAACAAAGTCTCCAGACCATGCTGTCAGTATTATCAACAGGCGATGCCAGAGATACAGAAGTCTTGCCTTACTTCACAATTCTCAAAGGTAGCAGATGTGCATCAACACTTGTTTAAAATAAAGTATTAATACTTTAAAGTCAAATGAAATAGAGTGTTTACATTCCTTAGGTCCTCTGGGGGGAGGGGGGAACTGTGATATGACAAAAGAGCTGAAGTCGCAATTTCCTTAATGTTATTTTTCTGATCGGTAATTATTTTTAACAGTACTTAGTTATTGTATGTCGTGAGACACTAAAATCAGAAACGGGGATCTCATTTAGATTTTAGTTTGTTTTTTTTTTGAGATTATTGGCGGCACAATCACTTGTAGAAACTGTAAAAAAATGAAAGTATCTCCTAGTCCCTTAATTTTTTCATAAATGTTTCTGGCTTTTGAATAGTTTATTTATATTGTATATCATAGTTTCAACTGTAGACAATTATGATGCTAATTTATTGTTCCTTGGTTTCACCTTTGTCTAAAATATAGCCAAGACTGAAGAAACCAAATCTATGTGTTTATTGTAGCATGTCAAGTTAGTGGGACATAGTTCAGAGACAGAGAGGGGTCTTAATGAATTTAAATCATTCACTTGATTAAATGTCTGTAAATCTTCATGGTTCTTACTGTAGTTTATTTAATGTCTATTGTAAATTATGTGACTTGTAGCTTCCTCTGTTTTCTAGTAAATTTAACAAGGGTGGAGTCTTATCTGGTTTTCTTTCCAAGCGTTGTAAGTTGTATACCAAAGATATTAGTTATTACTTCTGTGAGTACAGAGAAGATTATTTTATTATTTTTATTAATCACCTCTAACACATGTCCAAGTGAAGGGTGCCCATAGCCAAGCCGGGCGTCCATAGCTCATCACTCAGAGGTCACCTATGTTGTCTCCATGGCTCAAAGGACAACGGAAGATAGTTGATCAGAGTCTGTACCCAAAGCGGTAAATAGAGCAGCATCTTTACTCTCCCCAGTTAAAAACCAAGTTGGAGGGGAAAAGTGTCAACAGTTTATGAGATGGTTCCATCAGTGTATATGGAACACGGGTTGAGACAATTTCTAGATCTGGGAGATAGTTATTTAGAGGGTCCTTAACATTGCAAAAAAAAAAAAATTTCAAAAACAAATACATTGATCCCAAAAGTCCAAGTTTTATTTTAAATGTACAGTATTTCCCACTGACTGTTTTATCTCAATGAGGCCACATATTATTGTGTTGTTAACCTAATAAATTACACCGGAAGAACAGTTAGAAAGACGGGGAACGTGGAGACTGAAGCCACACTAATGATGGCGTTAAAGACAGGAGCTGGTGAACAAGAATGCCGCTTGGCATCCATGGTGCATGCAGAGTTTGTCTAGTGTTTGTCACTAACTGGGTTGCAACCAGACGTTGACTTAGTCACTGCCTTATCACCTGCAGGATTTACTAGTAAAGGCAGACTCAGACATGAAGGTTTGGGGCTTGGCCGGGCTCACTGTCATTGGTCTATGTTTATAAACAGACAATCTGTCACATCTGGATATTTATCTTACGGATCTTCTGCTGCCCCCTGGATCTGAATCCACGCGATGTCGAGAGTGTGAAGTCAGTTCCTTGTTGACGTTACTTAACTGTATCCGTGAAATCAAATTGTCATGTTGGTTCTTGCCAGGAATTTCTCAACAAAATGGAATTTTTTTTTTCAGTATTTCAATAAATATTGATATGCCCAGCCTGATCATTTTTAAAGGATTTTATGGTGTCCTTATTCTGTTGGGTTCTAAAGCATCTAAAGTAACTGAGATCCTTGACTAGGAGTGGAGTCAGAAGAATTCCACATGCGTAGACACTTCTCGGCTGGTCCCCTATCCTTGGTGGGAAACTTGAGGCATTGAACTCAACCTGTGCGTCACCTCTCCAAACATAAAATGAAGCATTTTGTATCACTTCCTGTTACAGCTGATGGAAATATCTTATAGTATCTGTCTTTGTAGCGCTCACTGTGCCCTAGTCATTTTCCCAGGTGTCCGGTCAATTCAGTTGATCCTCGGATCAGCTCCAGAGTCTGACTCAGTGGACGTGAGTGTGTGCAAACTCCGGGAGATGGTGAAGAACAGGGAGGCCTGGCATGCGGCAGTCCATGGGGTCACAAAGAGTCAGACACGAATGACTGGCTCAACAGCAACAGATCAGCTTCATGAGGTAGCATTGTCTTCCTCTGACAGTTTCCTGCTCCAAGTGATCCATTAGTCCCTGGGAAGTGTGTATCCAAGACTCAGAAGCCCTTAAACACAACACTGTGTTTGTCTCTAGGCCAGGATGACACTTGGGATTTGCTTCAAAAGGAAAAGATACGTTAGACAAAGTCAGGCCTCTGGTACTCCGTTATTGGTATTTGATATAAATTTTATCAGTGATATTATCCAGATGACGCAGTGGTAAAGAACCCACCTGCCAGGGAAGGAGATGCAAGCAATGAGGGTTTGATCCCTGGGTGGGGAAGAGCTCCTGGAGAAGAAAATGGCAGCTCACTCCAGTATTCTTGCTGGGAAAATTCCATGGGCAGAGGAGCCTGGCAGGCTACAGTCCATGGGGTCACAAAGAATTGGATGCAGTTGAGCAACTACCCACACAAAGGATACCAAACAATCAGAACGCCATACCTAAGGTCTAGTAGATTATGGAGCTGAGATTTTTAATCAACTAAACAGTGGCCCACAAAAGACATCTCCCTTGTCAACCTCTTACTAGGAAGAACTTACAAAGTGCTTGCCGACATTCCATGGAATATGAAAAAGATAAGTATATGTTCATACATTATATTCATACATTATCTACATTCATACATACAAATATGTATATAGTTCATTCATGACCTATAACTTAACACATAGAAAAGTGCATAGTTTGATAAACTTCTGCATATGTATACACCCAGGTAATCATCACACAGGTCAAGGAAGTCATAGAACATTTTTGTTATGTTTTTATAAGTGGCTATATACATTTTTTAAAAAATTGGTGGAGGGGCCGTTTTTCCAAAAGCCCAGCCCGGCGGCCAGTGGAGGTGATTCTGATAAGCTGAGACCTCACTCCCAGCACTTAGAATAACTCTCACAAGGTTGCTGAGTCCGTCAGCATGAACCAGTCCTGGGGGCGGGGTGGGGGGGTGGCGGGAAATGGTTCTCGCTGATGTGCATTTGATTGTTATGTTCGATAGCCACAGTAACTTTGAAGGGGTCTGTACCTTTAACTAAGTTTGACGTTCGGTTTGAAGCCACCTCTGATGTCTGTTTTTATGAGAACCATGTGGAGGGTTTGTTCTCCGCAACGTGGGTTAAAATGCTCCGGTACTCAGTGATCTTGACATTTCCCTGGAATAATAAAGACCAACTTTCCTGAACGCCGAACAGGAAGTGTATAGTTTAGTCACTCAAAATAAATATTCCTGCAGGACTTTAACTGCTGCGCACAGGCATTTGTTTTATGTTAAGTGAGGAATTAATAATTCAGTGACTCAGATCAGGCTGTGGTGGTGGAGGTTTTGTTTGCAGGAAAGCTTAGAGCCAGTCTGTGAAACGTCACATGTTTAATTGTTGCTCGAAAGGAGGGAAGAAGGGGGTGGCATTAGACTAATCGCTGAGCATCCCTGACAAGAGTTTGGCACTAAAGGATCGGGAAGCCAGCAGGCTGGAGACTGCAGGCCTTCCACTCTCCCCTCCCGAGCTGCGGCCAGTGTGGGCCGGACCCTTGACTCC